AGGGTTGAGAGCCCCTTACCGGTCATCTTTAAAAAAAAAAAAAAAAAGACAACACCAAGTTGGAGGGGAGAGGATACAGGGCCTGGACCCCAGGACCCCAGACTCACGCCCTCGGGCTGACCTGCCGCTCCACAGGTTTTCCAGCGACGTGTGGATGGCTCTGTGGATTTCTTCCGGAACTGGGAATCCTATAAGAGAGGCTTTGGCAACCTTGGGACCGAGTTCTGGTTGGGCAATGATTACCTGCACCTGCTCACAGCTGGAGGTGGAGGGTGGCACCCTGGGCCTGGCACCAGGCTTACTGCCAGGGGAGATGGGGTTACCCACCCACCCAGACCTTGCCCCCATGGGGCCTGTTCCTTACCCCTCTCCTTCCCCTCCTTTCAACTGCACAACCAGGGAATCAGGAGCTCCGGGTCGACCTGCAGGATTTTGAAGGTGAAGACTCTTATGCCAAGTACAGCTCATTCCAAGTGTCTGGAGAACAGGAGAAATTCAAGCTGTCCCTGGGGCAGTTTCTTGGGGGCACTGCAGGTAGATCCCAGGGAAAGCTTGAGGTCCTTGCCTGGGATAGGGAGGGGGTCCTGCGAGCTGCTGACCCAGGCTGGGGCTCTGCCTAGGCCCTTGGGAGCTGACAGGTATGGGTCTTCCTCAGGAGACTCCTTGGGGAGCCACAAGAACATGTCGTTCACAACCCACGACCAGGACAATGACAAGCATAGCCTGACTAACCGTGCATCTGTGTTCAAGGGGGCCTGGTGGTACTCTGATTGCCACCAGTCCAACCTCAACGGGCGCTACCTGCCCGGCACCCACTCGAGCTATGCTGACGGCATCAACTGGAAGTCTGGCCGGGGCCACAATTACTCCTACAAGGTCACTGAGATGAAGATCCGGCCAGCCTAGGCTAAGAGGGGCCAGGCGGCTGGCCCAGCACCCAGCCAGCACACACCTGAGCTGTGCCCAGGTCAGGTGGGGACGCAGATAGAAGTGGCCTCAAGGGGCTGACACCTGCCCCGGGGCTAGTGCTCTCTGCAGTGTGCCCCCCACCCCCGCACGCCCTCCTGGGCACTGCCCAGCACATGCCCCAGTGTGCCAGGACCACTGCTTACTCAGTGTTAATAAAGGTTAGAAAAGCAAAGTGTGACACCCCAGAACCTCCCTGGGAGGCCTGCAGGCGGCCAAGGCTGGGGGCACGTGGAAAGGGCAGGAGGGCCACAGGCATCCCAGCCAGCCAGTAAGCCCAGTCCCAGGTCACCAAGACCACCTTGACTTCTGGGGCCAGTGGGGGAGGTAAAGGTAGCACCATGGGCTCCTGTATGACACCTGTTGGCCTGAGAGGGCCCAGGACCTGAGGATGGGTGACACCCATCTAGGGAAGGAGAGGACCAGGCCTCCAGGGCCCTTCTGGAGGGAGCTGGGGACCTGAAAGTCCTTTCATGCATGCAGGGCACAGGGCAGGCCACCAGCAGTGAATAGGCGACTTGTCCTTCCTCACCCACGTGGGCGAGTCTGGGGGTTGTCCTAGGAGACCACTCCCCGGGGCTCACACCCAAGACAGCCTGGTTCCTGCAGAAGGGGGGCAGTTTAGAGCCTCCCGAGGCCCCTTCCCCTCAGGGCTGGGGACATGACCCTTGGCCCACAGAGTTCGGGGCCGCCCCAGACAGACCAGGAGTGAAGAGAGGGAGTGGGGCAACAGACAAATGGGGTGGGGTGGGCAGGGGCTGGGTGGGACGGGAGGCTGGCGGAGGGCTGGGCAAGGATCCAGGTCCGCACAAGGCCTGGCCCCTCCGCTCTTGCTGCTGCGGGCAGCACCTGCCACCGCAAGGCCAGGAGCCCTGGGAAGGAGCAGAAGCTGGGAGGGGGCTGTACCCCACGCCCCCACACCAGGATGGTCCAGGCCACCGCCCACAGTGGGGGGCTTGGGGTGCATTGTACTCTCAGGAGTGTCTGCGGTTATCCGGTTCTCAGATGAAGCGTGCCTTACCTTCACGAACAAGCAACAATCAACCCTTTTCTAAAAAAAAGAAAGCATTTTTAACTACCCGGGATTTTAAAAGGGGGAAGTAGTCTATCAAAGTTAGGTATTAATAATTCTTAGCTCAGTGTTCTGGGGCTTGTGGGGCTGGGGAGGAGTCACCGGAGAGTCCACAAAAGGTCTTAGTGACTTCCGACTGGCTAAACCTGGGGTTCCCTCCACTGTGGGCTAGGGTTGGGAGACGGGGGGACACCTCGGTTCTCCACCAGGCCTGCAGCTCCTCCAGCACCCCACTGCCCACAGAGCTCCCCTTGCCAGGCTTGTTTCTTGAGAGGTGAGCCCAAGGGCCTCAGTTTCCCACCTGGACTGAGCAGAACCCTGAGCCTCGGCCGGGCCCAGGGCTGGAGGCGTGGTAGTGCGTGCATCTGAGGCATGTAAGCGTGCTCAAGTGTGCAGTCTCAGCCATGCTGCACCCCCAGAGCGCACGCGCAGTCACAGTCAGTGACTGTGACAACCCTGAGCCCACAGTGCTACCAAGATTCCCATTGGACTGATGAGGACAAGGTCAGAGGCAGGAGCCACCTGCCCCAGGCTACATGCTGTTTAGTGCAGGGCCAGGGCCTCAGCAGGCCCATGGCAGAGGCTGCCCTCTGCTAGGGAAGCCGGCCACCGGCTCCCATCCTCCGTCAGGAGGCAGCATTGAGCTCCACCGTGGGGCCCAGCGAGCTCCCACAGGCCATGCAAGACTGAGAGCGGCTCAGGGAATCTACTCTGGACCCATGTCCATGCCCAGGCCTGTGTGCCAACTGGGCCATGCATTCAATATTCTTACCAGTGACTTTTATGGCTGGCCACTTTCCTGCAGGAGGCCTGGCCAGCCCCAGCCTCGTTTCCCTTCTACTGCACCCCCCACACACACACAGCTCCCCATTCCACCCGCCGTCCACAGCCCGCAGCCTTGCCCACCCGCCACCTGCCTCACCACCCTCTGGAACCAGGATCTCTCTTCTGTCAGCTCCCCTCTGTCCTTGCTATAGGCTAAATGGTGTCCCCCCAAATTCATATGTTGAAGCCCCAACCCCAGGCCTCAGAATATGATGTATTTGGAGACATGGCCTTTAACGCAGTCATTAAGGTAAAACGGGGTGTTGTGGGCCTTCCTCCAATATGACCGCCACCTGCCTCACCACCCTCTGGAACCAGGATCTCTCTTCTGTCAGCTCCCCTCTGTCCTTGTTATAGGCTAAATGGTGTCCCCCCAAATTCATATGTTGAAGCCCCAACCCCAGGCCTTAGAATATGATGTATTTGGAGACATGGCCTTTAACGCAGTCATTAAGGTAAAACGGGGTGTTGTGGGCCTTCCTCCAATATGACCAATGTCCTTATCAGCAGAGGAGATTAGGACACAGATGATGTGCGGTCCCCAGCTCCTCCCACTTTCTTCCTGTCCTGACTGAGAAACACAGAGTGCCTTGACCGCTCTAAGACACAGCCAGCTGCATGTTCCCGCCACAGGCTTGGCCCCTCGCAGGGCCTCGAGCCTCCCCAGGCACTGAAAAAGTTGCTTAGGTTGTTGTTTGACACACTAAAAGATCAAACATGTTGCTAAACATGTAAAAACTAGCCCCTGCCCTGGGCCAAACTCCTTAAGCCTTCCTCATCTACACTCCGCAGCCCGACCCCTCACTGCAGATGTGGCCTGGTGGACCATGCCTTTTGGCACTGCACGCCTGAGGACACTGAGGCACCAGCCAGTGAATGCCCTAATACACACGTGCTCTGGACTGGTTGCCCTGGCGGTCAGTGCTTCTTTCTTTGGAATCCCAACTTGCCCTGTCTTGGGATGGTTTGGGGCAATCCATTGCACGAATTCCCCTGCAACCACTTTTGGGGCAACTCCAGCTGCAGGCTCCACTGGACAGAACAGATCGGTATGGAGAGAAGAACATGGACACCGGGAGAAGTTGCCATGTACAAACTAGGGAGAGGCACAGAGGCCTCAGAAGGAACCAGCTGATGCCCTGGACTGGGGTTCCCAGCCTCCAGAACTGAGACAATGATGTTTAAGCTGCTTGGTGCGTAGTGCTTCGTTACAGTGGCCCAAGCAGACTCAAGGGGTCCTCAAACACTGCGCCCAATCCTCCCTCCGTGCCCCCCAGCCTTCCCCTGCCTCCCTTCACCCTCCTGGGATGGCTGCTCACCTGCTCTGGCCTAGTTCCTCCATGGCTACGTGTGAACCCTCCTCCTTCCCCTGCAACGTCCCATCCAAACCCTGGCCTCCCAGTCCCTCCATCCACCCCCTCAGCACCAAGGGCTGCTCCTCTGCTGCCCCCGCGACCCACTCCTGCAGTCACATCCACCTGTGTCCACCTCTTAAGTGTCACTGTTCAGGCTCCCGCTCTGTCCCCCACTCCACCTGTCCCTCCAAATCACTTCTCTACCGTCGCCACTCCAACAATGATCCACCCTGCTGGGGGGCTCCAAGCCACTGACCCTTGACCTTGTCCTCCCTCCCCCGGTAGCTGGTGAAATGCGTCAGAACCAACCCCTGCACCTCTCCCTCGTGCAGCCTCGCCCGGCAAGCCCCAGCCCTGCTTACACCTGGCCGTACACCGTCTCTGAGCCCACCCCATGCAGGTGAACACGGCAGGAGAAAGCCTCTCAACCGCTCCCTGCCCTGACTTCAAATCTGGGGCCAGATCTCTCCAGGGGGGTCCCAGCAAGGCCAGACAAACCTACCACATTCCCCGCAACTCAGTGCCCACTTCTCTGTCCTGCTCCTCACTGTCACGCTCAGCACACGTCTGCCTCCAACTTCATGGACAAGGTAGAAGCCGGGCCCCCAACCTGCGCGCTGGCATCCTGCCCACCGGAGGCACCTCCTCGCTGCCTGCACGGCCCCCTCCAGCCTCCGGAGAGGTCCCTGTGGTTTCTCTCCCTCTCACGGTCCATTCGCCCCTGACTCCTCTGCCGGACCCGTCCACAGTCTCCCCCCTGCGAGGCTCCCGGGGTCCCCAGAGCTCTAGGAGGGTGGGACCCCCTCTCCTAGCACAGAACCGGCACCAAGAATGGGCTCGATAGTATTTTTAAAGTTACTTTTCTAGATAACTGTACACAGAGCTACTCCGTGGGCCCTTTCGGGAGGTTTAAGCCCTGACTGATGACCTTAAACAAAGCCCGCCCCAACAAACACTAACAGTCATCACCAGGCCTCTGCCGGTGCGGGAACGAGGCCCTCCTGCGCCCTCCGCCGAGTCCCCGCCCCACGCCAGCCCGGCTGGCCCGCACCGCCGCCCGCCTTCGCGCCCAAGGTCACAGAGCCCCGGCCAGGCCACGCCCCTCCGCTCGCTCCTGCGCAGGCCCGCCCCGGCACC